GGACATGTGTGACTGTGGTGACATTTCCAGGCCATGCTCCCTGCCCCTGCTCTCTAATTTCTGGCTGACCTTTTTCCTGTAATTCCAAGTTTCCACCATGAATCTCTGAAAAGATCAGGTGGTCAGTTATGATCTTCAGCAGAATCTCAGTCAAGAGATTTTTAACTGCTGGCTCTTCATCATTTACAGCCCATCACATTTGCATGTTTGGGTTTTCAGGCACTTTCTGTTTCTTCGCTTCTATAGTTTGCTATTATGCTACAATTTCTTGGGCAGCCATTTTAGATTTTCCTGACGCTGTTTCCATTCAAACTGTGCATTCTTTTTCCCCAACACTGCTCTACATTCCTTTTCTTTCTTTCTTTGTTCCTACAGTGTTGTATTTTTCTTCTGGTATCACCATGTTCACTTATTTAATATTGCTCAAGACACTGTGTTAGGTATTTGTTATGCATTAGTTTTTCAGTTCTCAAATCAACTCTTGGAAATAGTTTTTGGCAACCATTTTATTTGTGTTATCATTATTATTATTATTATTATTATTATTATTATTATTTTAAAACAGAAAATATAAGAATGATGATACAGAATTTCAAAATAAAATGTTACAAGATTAACAATGGTTAATATATTGTGTACAATTATCTTCAAAGTAGTTGCTCAAATTGCAAGGTCTATGTATGAAAAGATGATCAAACAATGAAAGCACAAGCTGTTCTTTTTGATAATCTAACAGAAATTAGTAATATAATTATCCATCACATATATTTGTATATATTTATAATCTTTGTCCTTTCTTTTTTTTCTCCTTTCCGTCATCCCAGTTGTTCTTTCCTTTTGAACAGTTACTTCCCCTTTCACTGTCACAATAGTCATTGTACACTTTGTATCTTATTTACTCTTTCAGTGTTTTGCACTAGGGATACAATACAATGTTTACACAAGTGAGTCTGATTTATTTTGCTCATGAGTATGGTCTTAAGTTGCAACCATTTATTTATAGAAGCCTTGAGCTTACCCTTCTTTATAGCTGAGTAGTACTCCATTGTATAAGAAAACCACCTCTTTTTTTATCTTTTTCTTGGTTGACAGGCATTTGGGTTGTTTTCAAGATTTAGTTACTACAAAACATGCAAATTATGAACATGGGTGTACATATATCACTGTGGTATTATGCTTTCAATACTTCTAGGAAAATACCCAGAAAGGGAATAATCAGATTGAATAATATTTCCAATCCTAGTTTTTTGATGAATCTCCATACTGATTTCCACAGTGATTGTCCCAGTCTACACTCCTACCAACAGAGGAGAAGAGTTCTTTTTTCCCCCCACATTCTGCCAGCATTCATTATTGGTTGATTTCTTAATTATAACCATTCTTTCTGGAGTGAGATAAAATCTCACTGTTGCTTTAATTTGCATTTCTCAAATGACCACTGATGTTCAACCTTTTTTCTTATATTTATTTGCCATTTGTATTTCTTCTGAGACGTATGTACTCATCTCAGGGGCTCATTTTTGGATTGCGTTCTTGAATTTGGGGGACTTGATTTTTTAAAATTTTTTATATATTCAAGATGTAATAGTCCTTTGTCTGAGGAACAGTTGGCTGATGTGTTTTCCCACTCTGTGGGCTGTCTTTTCATTCCGTTGTTGATTTCTTTTGATGTGCAAAATCTTTTTAGTTTAAGAGTCCCATTGCTGATTCTTAGAAGTACTGTCCATGCAGTTTGGGTTTTGTTCATAAACTCTCCACTTACCCATAAGTCTTCAAGATTTCTGCCTAACTTATCTGTCTTAGTGTTCCTGTTTTAATGTTGAGATCTTTGATTCATTTTGACTTTAGTTTAGTGCATGATGATAGACCCTTGTCTAGTGTTAGTCTTCAGCATGTGGAGAACCAATTTTTCCAGCACCATTTACTAAAGAGGCTATCTCTCTTCCAGTGAGCATATTTGACCTCTCTGTCAAAGTTAAGGTGGTTGAATGTCTTTGAAATTGTCTGCATCTTGTAATCTGTTGCATTGATCCTCAGATGGTTTTTTTTGTTTGTTTGTTTTTGTTTTAGTTTTTTTGCCAGTACCATGCTGATTTCATCAGTACCTTTGCCATATAATTTCAAGTCAGGGATTGAGTTGCCTCCTGCTTTGTCTTTGTTGCCCAAGCTTGTCTTTGCTATTCTAGTTCTCTGTTGTTTCCAAATGAATTTTAGGAATGTTTTCTCTAGATCTGTGGGTTAGGCTAATGGTATTTTGAGTAGGATTGCGTTAAATCTGTATAACAGCTTTGGGATTATCACCATTTTCATAATGTTGCTTCTTCCTATCCATAAGCAAGGGGTATTTTTCCCATTTTCTTATGTTTTCTTCTATCATTTTTCAGAGTACTATAATTTTCAATGTACAGATCTTTTACATCCTTTATTAGATTGATTCCTAAGTATGTCATTTTCCTGGGGGGCACTGTTATGAAGGGTGAGATTTCCCTAATTTCTCTCTCAGTGAGTTTGCTGATTGTGTATAAGAACACTATTGATTTTTGAGTGTTGACTTTGTGTCTAGTTATACTGCTGAATTTACTTATCAACTCTATAGTCTTTTGGTCATTTTATACTCTTCTATGTAGAGTATCATGTCATTTGCAAATAATGATAATTTAACTTCTTTTTCTATCCTTACTCTTTTTATTTCTCTCTCTTATCTAATTGCTGTGGCCAATGTTTACAGAACTATATTGAATAGGAGTGGCGATAGTGGACATCCTTGTCTTTTTCCTGGTTTTATAGTGAGAGACTTCAATTTTGGTTCATTCTACATTCTTCAGAGATGCTTTGAAGCTTTTTTTGCAATAGTCTCTTGAAACTGAAGGGAGCTTGATCCCTGTTTGTTCCCAATGTCTCTTTAGAGAACTGTTAACTGTTGTCGAGGTGAGCTATGTATCAGCAGCAACAGCATAGGTAATGAAAGTTTAAGGGGTAAATTTCTGTGTCTTTTTAAGGCTGTATCTTCCTCTCTAGATTTTTATTAAGTGCTTCCAGATACCCAATTTGTGACTTGAGGGAACTGACCTCTACTACAGGTGACTAGAAGTCTTCATAGGCATTGCTATTTAGTCCAGCATCTTCAAATTCTGTGATCAAGATATTTCAGTCTGGCAGCAAATCTGGCTCTGACTTTCCTCCCTACAGTACATTGGTTCTATACAACAAAAGAAACTCCAGTAGGACATATAGGAGCCCCTAGAGAAAGTCAAAGAAATCCAGGACTTACTTTAAGCATTTGGATAAAACCGGCAAAGCATCCTGCACCATTCTAGGACCTGCTAGCAAGACAATTTTGAGGCAAGTAGCAGGTTTCCTGCTGTTCCAAAGGGCACCAGCGTTCTACCTTTACGAGTATCCTTTGGGCTATGACTAACTGCATAGAAGGGACCCTGAATATTCTTTCTTTCACATAAGCAAGTGTGTAGCAAATAAGACAGCTCATCCCCTGGGGTGTGGCGGAGATAGAATGAGGTGGAGAACTAGTTTTCTTGCTGCATATGAAACAAGCAATATTACTTGTATAGAACATTTGGGGGAAATAGAAAGGTACAATTGCAGCCAGGAACCGACCCAGAGTTTATGTCATCTTATATTCCACTTGGCCACCCAACAAACCTAGGAGACAAAGCAGAGCCCCTCCATACTCCTTCTCGGTACACACGTCAGGCCCGTGCTACAGTCCATGTGGGCTCACTGCATGAGTGGACTCATGCGTTTGGATCTCTGGGTGAAGACAATTCTCTAGTCTTACAGTTTGTTCTGTGGTGGAGTTATTCTATGCACATCTTTTGTAGGATGTCCCTGCTCTCAGGGTTTCCATTCTTCATGTTTGTTCAGTGTAAGTAGGAAAGGAAGAATTCTGAAGAGTCTCCAAAGACACCTCTGCTTCAACCATAGTGCCTTAAAATTCTTAAAATTGCATAGATTTTCTGGGGAGCTATGTTTTCATGAACGGAAGTTGCTCTTCCCTGGGTGTGACCTTGCCATCTACAGCACATGGGGGACAATATGTAGGGCAGAAAGTAGCATGGAGAGTCAAGCAAAATTTCTACATTACACTCTTCAGGTAGAATTCATTTTTGCTTTTTCCAAGGTTGCTCTGGAATTGATCTCAAATCCACAAAGTCATCTAGAACTTTATCTCTGCAGAGAACAGCTCTTCCTTTTGCTAAACTTGACAGCTCTTATTTCTTGAAACCACACCCTTAATCTCCTAGTATTTCTTTAAGATGCTCAGGTTCAGAGCCCCTTTTATCCATCACCTGGGACTCTGCCATGAAAATTTGTCCCCAGCATAGCTCCCAGCAGTCCCCGCCTGTGTTCTGTCACAAGTGGGAAACACACACACACAAACACACACACACACACACACACAACAAAGCAAAATGAAACAAAACAAAACCTTCAGAGTATCTGCCAGTAAGGTTCACTCTCAGGTTTTCCTCTGGTGGGAGCAACTGCAGGTTATGCTGGGGATATTTGCTGAGGACATGCACTCCTTCTGCCGCTGAAATAAAAGGTTTCTGCCCCAAGCAACCAAGAAAGGGATGTAGATCTACCCTGGTAGAAAGGAGATTGCCCAGCAAAACCAAAATGCTCCTCTTCCAAGACATTCCAGCAGCCAGACCTCAGGGCACCATGACTCAGAGTCATGTTGTAAACCAGAAATTTATTTAGCATAAGCAACTGAAGGTTGCTGGGCCAGCAGAGCTGCTTGGAAAGGCCTCCAGAACCCATGGCCTGTTGCTCATATGGTTCAGGAGAACAGTTTAGCTAATTGTGTGTAGTCAATAAATGATGGTGGTGGCTGACAGGGCTGAACTCCAGAGGGCAGATCTGCACGTTAGAAACTGGTAAGACTCAAGATTCAATTTTGTGTTTGAAATATGTAGAAGAGACAAGTACCATGGAGAGTCAAACAAAATTTCTAAGTTGCATTCTTCACGCAGAATTCATTTTTGCTTTTGGCAAATATAATTTTATTTTAAATATACTGGAAAGAACTTTCAAAAGAAGACCAAAATACAAACTATGCCAAGAAAACAGGCTGAGAAAATTGGGTAAAGGGTCTATGTTCTTCTCTGGCAGAGGAGAATTACAAATCTGTGTTATTCTCTCTTATCATACATAAAATACTATTGAACACCCCCCCCACACACACACACACACACACTCACACATAGGGAGAAATCCCCTTTCAGGGATGGACAGAGCATTAGCATTCAGAGACTATAGCCACAGTGTAATACAGGAAATGAAAAGACAAATGTTCTTCCCTCACCCAGCTGGAAGCGCCACCTTGACTAAAGGAAGGTCTTGAACATTATCTCAGGGTCAGCACAGAAAATGTTTCTATGGAAAATGACTAAGAGTTTCAATCCTGAGTTTTCCTGCAGCTCTGAGACGTGAAGATCGCTATCTGTCCTCATCTTGGGAGTGGCTGTGCTCTTGCAGCAGACCTTATTGTAACTCATGGAACCAGAGCAGAGGGATTTCCCAACACAATGTAATTTTGATAAAGCATTTGCTCTGACGCAGAAACTGTTGACCTGCTTGTCTCCAAGGCCTACTTTGAGGAGATTTCCTTCAAGGAATCAGGATAAGGAAAACTTTTATTGCCACATATATTATTTTGTGTTTCCTACGTTGCCTTTTTCCTTCTCTGAGAATGCTATCAACAAAGTACTCCTTGGTGCTAGCTGGAATGGCATTCCCTGCCCCAACGTGAGTTTCTTTGTATAAGATAGGTTTGCCTGTCAAGATCTTTTGTTATTTCAGCAGCCTTCAAACATGGAATGAATAAATTTCCATTGGGTTGGCATTTCCTCTCATTTCCTGAAGGAGGGGTTGATTGTTCTGACAGCTCCCTGGGGATATTTCAGCCTCTTTTGAAATGACTGAAGTGACAGATGTCATTCCCTTATGCTTACAAGTCACACTGAAAAAAACGAAAGGAAGGTCATGTATAGTATCAGCATGGATGCTAGAATTGTCTACGATGGAAATTTCTGAAGTGGAGTCATCATAGAAAATAACAGAAAAGGTTTGAATCTGCTGATGCACTTGTAGAATATTTGGCTTCAATGGTATCATCTGCGGAAAAATAAAAAGACTTGGTTACTTCTGAACAGAATGAGGACAATGTGCCTTTCAACAGAAAGAGCAGATAGTTCTCCCTGAAACAGGACAAGAACTATTAATCAGATAAGTCTTGCAAAGATAATGGATGTATCTGAAAGATGATTGCTTCTCTCATTGCTATGCATTGCAATTAGATTTGAGTGCATATGAAAAGGAAATAAGCAACTAAAGCTGTACTGCTTTAGTTATGATTGAATGATTATGCAAAGGAAAATTTCTCTCAAGTGTAGGATGATCATATCAATTGCTTCTAGTCTTAGAATAAGGAACTATAATTTGACACTCATTTAAATTGATATTTGTCTCAGTAATAATGCATTGCTCACTTTGTAAGTGAATCTTTTATCACTGGTCAAAATAACTTACTAAACTTTCCCAACAACTAAATTTTAGGGATTTAATCATAATTGAGAAGTTATCAAGGTAAATCCCAAAACACACGTATAAATTATCTTGAGGGCTCAGTGGTTCTATCTAAAACAGCAATATTGGAATTATTTTTAAAATGAGTTTATAAAACACTTATTTTTGTAAGTGCTCAAAATTAATGCTCCTGTCTATCTATCTAAGGAGAAAAACAGTGGAAAAAAAAAAGTCTGGGAGTATGGAGAACTCCTCCTACCTTTGTTTTTCTGTTTAAAACAGCTGATTTAGATGTTAAGGATTTATCACTAGTGAATGCAATTTTTTCCTATCAAATTAAATACTGTTTAATTTCTTTTCTCTCATCCACATTGCTCAAGAATATTATAGAATATATAGAAAATGTGCAAAGATTAAACTATAAAGTAAATTATACAATTTTTTTAAAAATGCGGGCAGAAGAGTGAGACTAACCTGGATCAGACTTTTGGTTTTCTTAAACTCAGCTTCCCCACTTTTTTCATCTGATAAAGTGTGGGTAATAGTAAACCTACTGCAGAGAAGAAACGATTATGCAAATTAATAATCAAAGCACTTAGGATAGTGCTTGGAATATGATATGAAATCAACAAAAGCTTTATCAGTAGTGATTATAATGGTAATGTGCAACAAGATGCTTAAACACCTCACAGTATATAGATACCTGGATAAGATCTAATTCTTAGCCTTAATGAGTTTATTGTGGGATAAAACAAGTAGATAAATGAAAATAATGAAAAGATAAGAAAATTCTGAAGGCTTGATTGTATATCAGGTTTAAAGTATTATTAATGCTACACAGCTACCTTCGGTAATCTATTCATTACAATAAAATTTTTAATGAATATATTATAGTTGATTGCGGTGAAATGTCTAATACCTAGAAATTAATTAGTGGTTGAGAATATCTCTCAAATGACCTTTAAAATGAATATCAGATATTTTAATGATGCAGATGTACAGACCTTTTAAAAATCAGCAAATAAGCTTTGCTTTTCATGGTGGTTAGTTTCATACCCAACTTTACGCAAGGAAGAGTTTTAATTTTTTTTTTTTTTTATTAAAATTTACCTTTTTGAGACAGGGTTTTACTATGCAGTTCAGACTGGCCTCAAACTTGCAGAGATCCTCCTGCCTCAGCCTCCTGAGTCACGCATCACCATGTCGGGCCAATTAATCATGGTTTTATTTCTTATAATGCCTTCCATATTTCAACCAATCGATGGTACTTTTGGAAATTGTCTGCATGATTATCACAGTACTCGTTGCTCAAACACAGTAGATATCTTTTTAAATAACAAAATGAGAACCTGTAAGAAAAACTATTAAATGTTTTGATAACATAATGAATAAAAAACACTTTTTATAGCAAATAACAATAGTAATAATTGAAAGAAAGAACTATATAACTGAAAAAAGAGATAGAATCTTAATACATATTTTGGAAGCCCTTGTAAGTCAATAAGGAAAAATATTCAGTGATTCTCAGTCTAAGAAATGCAATAGATAAATATAGTCACTGTATTCAATTTTTTTGGTAAGAAAAATGGCAGCTTATTTTTTATCTATCATGCATGCAAATATTAATAATGACTAATGATTGTGAAAGTGCAGGATAATGGGTTTCTTTGTTCATGAGGAACACACATTAATACCATCTGTTTTAAAACCACACATTTAGAAATTTCCATAATATGATAAAAAAATTTTTTAGAGAATCATAATAGAGAAAATTTATTTAGCAAACGTGAAGAATGTACTTTAAATAAAGTGATAGGTGAATACTTACTGGCACAGAAGTGTGCGCACAATTGTTCACATCCCACTTTTACGACCCAAACACTCATTTCTCTAGGAATTACAGGCTTAAGTTTCAGCTAATTAAGGCTTCAGCTGAGTTCCTCTCTGCACATTCACCTCTCCTGAAAAAGAGTTGCACCACCCTAAGTTACTTACTCTATGGAGACAGGCAGATCTTTGTTTTTTCACTATGTGTGCGTGAAACATAGCATGTCAGTTTCAGTTCGGGACCTCTCTGTAAGTCTCTTTAACTCTAGAGGTCATCAGGAGATTGTCTGAGACATTTTGCATGACCACAATATATTTTAACTTCTCCAGTCTTGCTTCCTCAATTCCTTACAGATATTCTTTACAAGAACTCAATGAACTTTCTACAGGCAGACCTTCCTTAAAATATGTCCCCCAAAATTCAACACGGACAACTGGTGTCAAAATAGGATTGAAGAGAAAACCAGTGCTGCAAATGTTTAACAAGTAGCTCTTTAAAAATAAAAAAGATAACCCATAATTTTTGTAGTGTCCAAAATGTTATTACTCCTCCCTTGGGAAAAGAACTTGCTTGCAGGTAAATGTAGGTAGAAACTTGAGTTGAAATGTGGTTGGAGTTTTTGCCACTAGAGAATGTTCAGAAACAAGGGGAGGATTATAATTAAGAAATGCTGGTGAGGCTTGAGGGATGTGAGAATGTAACAAGTATAACCCATTATGCAAATCAGTATGGAGATTCCTCAAAAAACTAACTGGAAATTCCATTCAACCTAGCTATTCCCTTTCTAGATATCTTTCTAGAAGAGTAAAGATATCATATTACAATGATACATGCATGCCTGTGCTTATAAAAGTATAATTCATAATAGCTTAATCTGGGAAGCAGCCTTTATGTCCCCCCTCAGATAAACAGATAAAGGAAGTGTTTTATTTCTGCACAATAGAACACTATGCTACCATTAAGAAGATAAGCTTGAGTCATTTGTAGGAAAATGAATGCACCTTAAGACCACAACATTAAGTGGAATAAATCAGACACATGAGGTTAAATATTTCATACTTTCTCCAATATTAAAACCCAAAAGATAAATCACAATAAAAGATAAAAGCAGTCAGGGAGAAAGATCTATTGCAAAAGGGAAGGAAACCAAGAAATGGAGAGGGATTAAAAAAATTAATTGAGAAATGTTATATACACATGCCAGTTCCCCATAAAGAATGTAATCATTATGTGTTGCAAACATGTACTAAGGAAAAATAAAAGTAAAACAAAGAATTATTAAATAAATTAAATGATATCAGAGGGGCATGATGTCATGATGAGATTATTGGTTAATGGATAGTGAATTTTAATTAGTTAAAAGATAGTACAGAAGGATAATCAGAGAATGATCAAGAAAGACTTTTCATGAAGTAGGATAGACAAATTAGAGATCATAGAGAAACTGAAGAATTGATACCTATGTTGCCCAAAATATTGCATGGGAATAAGAAGATAAGCAAAGAACAGTATAAAAGTCTTCATTCATCAACTAAAACACTGTACAAAAATGATCAAGGAATCAAGAAGGCAAAGTACTACAAAATATATACACCTTGTAGGGTATATAGTGTTATAAAGTAAGAAAATCTTTGCTGAAAGCTTAGTAGGTGGTTGTCATATGAAGGAAGCATCATCTGGTTTTACATAATTTGAAGCTAGGTAACCAGAAGAAAATTTCTGAAAAGGAAGATCCCTGTAAGCAGAGCAATACCATGCAGAAGAACTAGAAAATTACATCTAGGAAAAGGTTCAGGAAACAATCTTCTCAAAATAAAGAGTACAAATGTGGGGATATCGGGGCTTGTTGATTACTGACATTAAATTCTAAAGAGTACAGTCAAAGAGGAGTTTTGGGTGCTGTGGAAGAATGGAAAAGGGTAGTCAGGAATAAAATGTAGATCAGAATCTGCAGAATTAGGACAATGGGAGTCCTTGAGTTCTTGTGAGGAGCAAGAATAAAGAGAATTACCGGAATTATTTCTCAGAATGTTAACACATAGATTGGCAATGAGGCCTGACTTCTGAAGGGAAGAATGGACTTCTTACCAGTAGTCTGTGGAGCTCTGCAGTGTCCTCTCCACTTCTGATGGCGATGATGTGGAAGCCAGGGGCTTATTTTTCAAATCCAGAGTAACAGAGCATCTGAGGTCCGCTGAGCTCTGCCAATGCGGCATGAAAAACAGCTGATGATAGCAGGCAGCTAGTAAGCAAGCTGGTTACTATGATGGCAAGCAGATACTAAGGCCACAAAGCCTCTTTAGTGGAAAACACAGGCCTTGTTTAGATGACTTATTCTAGACCAAGATTTCTCTATCATATTGTTGAAATTTTTGCTGAGTAATTCTCATAAGGACTTCCCTGTGGGTCATAAATTATTTAGCATCTTGGGCTTCCGCCCCGTACTTTCTAGCACTCTCCTAAGCAGTGAAAATCCAATCATCTGTAGACACTGCCTAATATTACATGGTCTAATGTTCCTTGGGAGATAAAAATCACTTGCAGTTGAGATTTTTTTAAATATATATGCTTCTCAACTTACAGTGAGGTTACCTCCCAATAAGGAGTATATTTATTTGACTTTACTGGGAAAGTCTTACACACAGTAAGCTTTGATATCATGAAAAACTAAAAATATAAAGTTGAAAATGCAACTTTTAACACATTTAACATAGCTCATACGCAAGACCATCTTAATTTTACTCATTATATTTACATTAGCCTACACTTGGCCAAAATCATCTAACAATGTATATTTTGTGATAAAGTGCTGACTGTCTTATTTACCAAATGTACTGAAATTGAAAGAAAACCAGAATACTTGTGTGGTACAGTAAACAGAGATGGGCTTTCTGTAGTCAAAATAGGATATGAAAGTACAGAACATAACTAAAAGAAAACAAAACACTAGCAACACAATAGGTTCCAGAAGTTGTGCTGTAGTTGTACAGGTGACCAGGAGTTGTGGCTTCATACCAGCACTATTAGAGAGCCCAAGGAAAGATCAAACTTCGAAATGTGACATATGGGTTCCTACTGAATGTGTTAATGCTTTTGAACCAAAATGAGGCTGAAAAGTGTAAGTTGGGGACATTTTAAATATGTAAGAAGGCATGAGAGCACAGGAATAAAATGAGTATATGTATTTGACTCTACTCAGAAAGGTTTACACACAGTAAGCTTTAATATTAGTAAGGATTCCCCCGGGTAATTAAGATATTTATGAAAAGAAGTGAGCAATTGCTAAAAGAAAAAAAAATATTATTTTCTATGAAGTTAATTGAGTCATTTGGTAGGACAGTGCAGATGATTTAGCATGCAAACAAAGACGTGTTCAGGTTCATAGGATGCGAACATTATCAACAAAAAGATCACTGTTAACTCTTCATATCCGAAATATAAAATCTTGCTTATATTACCTCACTTGGTGACCCTGGCATGTCAAACTGTTGCAGTAAAATAAAGGACACAAATCAATTAACTGGAAAATGTAAAAATTTTTCTCACCAATAGTTTTGTGACTGCAAACAGATGCTGAAAAAGCATGAAAATAATTTTGCGCATTGCTGAAGCTACGTATTCCAAACCAAACCTTCATTGCTTGATTCTAAGTCATACTTTCAGAAAATATTTTGAGGTCTTTATAATTACCTTCCCCTTTTCCACTTTTAGTTCCTCTTTAATGTGTCAGTGCATTTTTATCTATGATGTATTGCATAACAAAGTTGATGTTAATAGATGTTAACCTAAGGCATTATTTATATAAACTCAAAACTGAGATAACTAGGAAAAAACAGTTATTTTATCATTTGGATATTTTTCCTTCAGAATCTTGTTCTTGAGTAAATGTAACACAAAATATGACCCTAAAATAGATTATGTCCTTTTGGAATTACACTGACCATCAGAATCTGTACAATATATGGCTTTTCTCATCATTCACAACTTTTTTTGCCCTAGGTATCTATTACGGTTTAGTTGTCGATATATATCATCTTGAAGAAATAATACCTCTTAGCAGAGAAAATTGCATGGGCAGAAATCATTATAAATCTTCATCTGGAATGCATATCGTTATTGAGAGCAGTGATATGGTACAAATTTTGACTCCTTTGTGAGTTTCAATGCACTACTCAACATCTTTATTTCCCTAGGACAGTTCTCTGGATGACTTTCACCTTGCTAACTGGATTGCCGGACTTGTACAGTAACAACCAAACATTGAGAAAGCCTTGGGAAAATCACTTAATTCAAACTAATGGTACAAAGATATTTTCCATGTTATATGATTCTGTCCTTTCCCACAAGAAGAGGCAGGATGATCATTTTAGAGTACAAACAGTCTGTCAACAGTTGTCTGTAAATAAATTTTAGAAAAATTATAAATACATTAACATGGGGTTAACAGGCTTTTAATCGTAGAATATTGTTAATGCATTGCATTTTCTACATGAGATTTTCCAAAAATAATTTCACATGAAGGTCTTCTAATAGTAATTTCAATTTGAAACTAATACTGTGTTGTAGAATTATTAATAAATAAATGGTGGTGCACATTTTAAATCCTGGCACTCAGGATGCTGAGGCAGGAGGACCAATAAGACTTCAAGGCCTCCTGGACTATACAGAGTTCCAGGCCAGCCTAAACTACATAGTAAGACTCTGTTTCAACAAAACAAAACCAAGAAAACAAACAAGCCAGAATTTCCATTAGAGTGCATTTTTTCAAGTACTATTTAAAATTTCACTCCCAGAACTTCAATTCTGAGAAGGAGTAGGCACATTTTCCTTTTATCTTTTTTCAAAAACAACTGAAAGTTATAGCACTTACATGCAAAATAAACTGAAAACTGGAGAGAAGAAGAAATAATGGCTAAGAACCTCAGGACTTAGGAATCACTCCGGTGTTATTCCTCAGGTTTTCTTGTTAGCTTCATCTACCCAATTTTGGAAGTGAAGTCAGAAGCCCACATCCATCAATATGTTCAGACAATAAACAAACAAACAAACAAAAAAATCAGTCAATCAACCAATCCAACTCCAACAAAGGAAAAAGACAAGAAAAAGGGCAGACTACCTTTTAGATTATAACTTGTCTGCTCCATCAAAGCATCAGAGGAAAAATAACAATAATTTGCCCTTCCAGGGGCCAAGAAGAGGTGTGAGTGATGCCTTCTTAACTGGGATGCCGCGAGGAGGAGCCCTAGTCCACTCTCCTGGCTGGCACAGTGGGAAATGGGTAGAAGCTGAAAGCTCATCCCAGCTGAGTGGAAATAAAGCACCTTTGCTCAAGACGGCATCAGTGGTGACCTCGGGAGGATCCAGGATTTATGGTCCCACCCCTCAGTTAGGTGGTGCCTTTCCTTTCCCTGCTGAGACTCTGTCAGTTAATGCAGCCAGAGGCAATGCAACACCATCTGATGGAGGACAAAGAGAAGGCAGCAAAGAATAAATCCTACCGTTTTGGCCAGTTTAATATCACAGGAGAAACTCCAGGGTAGACAGAACCTCACCTCACCACTATCTAGGAAGAGTTGGTCTCCCTCCTTTCCAGTCTCAACAGATACCAGGCTGGGCCTGGACATCCACCACCACCTGTTGATACTAACATGAAAGTCTCTATTTCCCTTGCAAATAAGTCTTAAAGACCCAAAAACTCATAATACCCAACATTCATGTTTTAATGTTACTTTCATCACAACTAAAATTGAACTTTGAAAGAAAATTATGGACACAAATACTGAGATGATAAAGTTATTAAAATTCCCATTGTGAAATTTTATATCATTGTTTCCATAGCTTTTTTCCTTTTAAATAAAAAAGTAGTAGATAATGATTTTAAAGCAGTTACTATAAAAATGTTTCAACACGTAATTACAAACACACTTGAAATAAATGAAAAAATAGGATACTTCATCAAAAATGGTAAAAAATGCAAAACAAATGGAAATTTTAGAACTTAATACGAAAAAGCCCCCCAAAACAAAATAAAAACCACAATAGATAGCTGACATGGTACCAACAGTAGGGTGGAGGAGACAAGGGGAAAGAATCAGTCAACTGGAATACTGAACAATAGCAATTACCCTACCTGAGGAAAGAGAAAAGTATGAGAAAAAAAAAAAAAAAATGAACAGAGCTCCGAGTATTTGAGGGACTATAACTAATCTAACATTTGTGTCTTAATTGTATTAGAAGGACAAAAGAAGAACAAAGGGCAAAGAAAGTACTTGAGGAAGTTACTGCTGAAAATATTTTAAATATTTCCAAAAGACACAGAGTAAATTGAATGGAACTCTACTGAATTTAACAATATGTTATACAATTCTAATAATCAAAGCTGTGTTATTGATAGAGGAATGGACATACTTATTAATGCACCAGACCCAGAAATAGGCCCAAACAAATATACCCAACTGATTGCTGACCAAGACTGAAAGCAACACATTAAAGGAAAGGTAACTTTTTCAACAGATGGTACTGGATTCATTGGATATTCATTGGTAAGAAGGTGAAGAGGGCAGAGGGAAAGGAAGGGGAGAAGGAGGGAGGAAGACAAATGAGGAGGAGGAGAAAAATAGATACTTATATCATACTTTGTATAAATATTAAATCAACACCATGCAAGGGTTTAAATCTATGGAATGTTTGAAAGTGGGAGAAATCTTTGAGATCTTGAGATCCAGGACTGTCCTTCATTTGACATCAAAAGCACAATTCAGGGAAGGAAACTTTGATAAACAGTATTCAAGATAGGAGATTAGGGCATGGGAAAGCTGGCTGGGGAATTAGGCATGATTCGTTAACTGTAAGATCCCAAACCTCTGCACGTGGACGTCTCTCAGAGACTCTAGCAGGTTTTCAATAGGACGGCCTGAACCTGAAGTCAGCCTGACGCGTGAGATCCCAGCACTGCCTCTCAGCACCCATGTGTGGAGGTTCTCATGGATTTCCTCAACGTTCAAACTGTGCAAAAGACACAGAGGCTAAGGAGGACTTGCTATGGTGACTTGCTTTGCAGTAGCCCATCCTGCTTTCTCCAGGGTCCTTTTCCTCTTATTATTTAGCCCAAATTTGCTTTGCTTTTTATTCCCACTTTTCACTTTACTTTCTTCAATAAACTTGGCCACTGCTTTATGCTAGTTCTGTTCAGTTCTCTGTTTGAGACAAGAAGAATCTGGAATCTAGCTCCAGAGAGTGAAGGGAGCAAACAGTAATGTTTAGTTGGCAAGCCCCTTTTAGAAGCAGGCTCCCCGATGACAGTAGCTCATGAAATAGTACTAGAAAAGGCTCTGTTAAGAGCGTTGATATGAACTGCAGGTAAAAGAGGTGAAAACATTTTCCAACTACACACCCGGCAAGACTATTGTGTAGAATATGTAAAACATTCGCAATGTTTGACAGTAAAAAAAATCTCACAAATAAGCTTCTGAGAAAATGGCCAAAAGACATAAAAACTAATGATAACATACAGATGGCAAATTAGCATGAGAAAAATACTCAGCATTGTTTCTCATTAGGGAAATGCAAAATGAAAGCTGTGACTATTATTACATGTCCATATAAATAGCCTTTTTTAATAAAGACTTATGGTAATGCAAATGTTAGCAAGGATCCTGAGCAACTAGACCATTCATACATATATATTATATCTACTTTACACACTGCTGCTGAGAATTTAAAATGTACAGCCACCCTAGAAAACAATCTGAAATCCTCTTTAAACAATAAATTCTGCTATTGTTTGTAACCCAGCAACTCATTCCAGAAAAAATGAAAGTAAATTATCATTGCTATTTTATTCATAGTTGTTCAAAACTAGAAAAAATTCAGAGGTCTTTCTTTGGGTGAATGTTTAATCAACTGTGAAATATTATTCAACAGTGAAAAGGAAGATATATTTATACCCAGAAAAGCTGGATGAATCCACAGGAAATTATTCTGAGTGAAAAAAAATTCCCAAAATGCACAGATTGCATAATTCCATCTATAAAATATTCTTACAATAACAAAATTATAATAATAGAAGGCAGGTTAGCAGTTGCCAGGGTCTCTGGATGCAGGTGGACGAATGTGAGGGTCCCGCAGAGAAGCCAGGGAAGAGGAAGGGAGCACGAGAGACTGATGGAAATGTTCTGCATCTCCACCATATCCATGTCACTTGTGATATTGTGCTACATCCTGGGGGAAATTGGATACGACAACATAGGATTTATTTATATATATCTTCAAATTGCATGTGAATCTAAAATTCTACCAAATAAATAATTTAATTTATAAAAAACCAAATCATATATATTTTAGTTGTCATATTTTCTGACTGCCCATCTCTGTCTAAATAATTTTGCTAATTAAGAATTTCCCACTCGATCATTCCCATCTCTTCAAAAAGACTAAAAATTACTGTCTCAAAATTTTAGCTCAGTCATGGGCCTTCGATACAACTGCATGCAATTTTAGGTGAAAACTACACGAACAATCTGATTTGCTGATGGGAATGAGGTTTAGGATTGGAACAGAGGAAGGTGGCTTTCAGGGATAACACTGATTATGGTCAAGTTTGTGACACAATGTGGCACTGGCACATTTGGAACTAGTAACAAAAGAGGATACAGTTCACTGTAGAGCAAATTCATTGTAGTTGAACATTAGTAATAATAATTACCATTGTCTGCTCATATGACTGTTCTGGGCCATTACGGTACTGGAGTCTTAGCTTTAAGCATGAATTGTAAGTCCTTCTAGAAATTTTGTGGACCACTGGTCTGGTGAAACAGGCTCAGATCCCTGGAGGAAAGTAACAGAATCAATTATGTTGTTCCTTGGCAACTTTACATTCCCAGAGGGACTATACAGTTGTCCCTTGGTACCCAGGAATGAATTGTTACCTCTATGACACCAAACTCACAGACATTCAACTTCCTGATATAAAATTTCATAATATTTGCAAACATATATATCTTCTATATTATTTAAATAATTTCTAGAGTTCTTATAACATTCAATAAAATATAACTGCTGTGTACATAGTTATGATCTAGTAAGGGAAAGATAAGAAAAATATCTCTACATGTTTGATGCAGACACATTTTTTTCAAATATTTTCATTGTATATTTGCTTGATTCTTTGAATGCAGAATATATGGGAAAAATTTTTAAAAGAAGACAAAGTCTCAATACTCATTAAAAACTAGTATTGGGTAAAAGCTGTACAAGATAAAACAGAATAAAATGGCTTCTCCTATGCTTGGCAAATCCATACGGACTTCCCAAAACCCATTTCTTCCCAAATCATCAGAATGTTTTAGAAGGTTTTTTCAGCAACTTTTCTTAAAAGTCAAGAATCAATTTTGTGGCTTCTGAATGTCTGACACGTGATGACACATTATCTTCTCAGGAAACAGATAAGAGTTTCTCTCGTATATTGACAATATGTTAACATCAGCAAGTCCACTGTAACAGGAAGTTTTAATGTAAGCAAAGATAAAATGATTATTTTATATTTGTATGCTATGTAGCCCTTATACTAGTTAAATATGTTGTAGAAGAAAATACTTGGGTTTTTAAAAAAGATTTTTGTTATATAAAAGAATTGATCCTTCTGACAAAAAGGAGAGGCAGAATTGAGATATGCATTTTTGACAGAAGCTCAGCATTAATTAATTCTCTATTTTAAAAATCATGGACATCTTGTCCTCCCTTATAAAATGAAATGCATGGGTATATTAGGTTTACTGACCAAGCCCACAGGAAATTGAGAACTTCAATTTTTTGTCCCTTCTTTTGACTAAATGGATTTCTGTATTCCCTCATGTGTCCCCCCCGAAAAAAAATCTATGTGAGCCAGTGAAATATTTATTTACCACCTCACTAACTCTTTTTGCCTTTTAAAGATGGCATAAGGAGATTTCACCAAGCTAGCAAAATGTGTAGAATTTGGCTTCACACATTGTCTATTAAAAATCTCATACAACACTTTTTATTATTTACACTGTTGCTCATCTTGGAAGTGTGTATGTGATCACCACTAGCATACATTTTAATTGGCATGTGCTCACCAAGCCTGGCCTCTCTCAGGTTCTACTTTCTTAGCCGTAGAGACTGCTGAAAACAAAATGCACACAAATTATACCCTAAATTTTATTTTTCTATACCTTACTTAAGTGCTAAATTATTCATAAGCTTGTACGTTCATGGAACATCCTGTTATACAACCGAAAAGTTAATGTGTTAAAGTAGATGTAATATTAGAGACTATCACTTACAAAAGATTTCAAAAGCAGTGAGTTTATTTAGATAGACCTGCTGAATTTTTACTTAAAAGAAAGACAGAAATATGAACTGTGGCCTTGGCACACAGGAGAGACCAATTAATGTCTGTTACTTTTATCCAACTGCCTGAGGCCAAACAATAAGTTGGAAAGAAAACAGAAAAGTATCAGGAACCTGTTTCCTTTGTGCTTCTACCGCTGGCCCTAGACTGTTAGCCATTAAGTAAGCCTTTGTGTTTCAATTTCCCTATCTTGTAAAAACACGATAATATGTGCTTTGCTAATCTCCTACAGATTTAAAATAAATCAGTGCATATAATGTGGTTGGCATTACTCTCAGTATTTCACATGCATGGCAGAATAAAATTATGCAGACACTGTGTTTTTCACGTTTAGTGTTTCTAGTTCCCTCTCCTTTCTTACCCGCTACTCAAATTCAGGGAGCAGCAGGAACTTGTTCTATACTTACTGATCTCAGGGTAGAATTTTTACAGTAGTAATACCAAGAATCTGTATGAGCTTTTTGTGGATATATTGCCTTAAAATATACACTTGGGTCTATATCATGGAGGAAAAGGGTTTTTTTTTTTTTTTTAGAGGTTTAATATGTTCTATGAATAACAAAAGCCGAGCTTTTCCAGCTCAACAATAAACAGAATACACAGTCAGAGCTGAATTTCTCCCTCAACCTCCTGGATCATATTCAAGATTCCACAGTCTGGGAAGAGGAGAAAAATCGGAGATGAAATAATGGCACCATAAAAGTCTCTGCACAGGACAAGATTCCTGGCCCAGTCTCCAGATTAGCTTTCGGTTGGATTGATCTAGAATCCTGCACTTCAGGAAGAAGGTGAGTAGGGGCTCAGGCTTTGGTGCTGTACTACAGTGTGTCAGTTTTTTTGTGGGAAGAAGAGTGTGGGGATCATATCATGACTTGTTGGAGCAGAAAAAATTTGATCAAAGTATTGAGTTTCTGGAGTTTTGAATATTTTTTAGGATTCTGAAAAATCTGAGTGGTTAGGAAGGGAAGAATAGGTCCAAGTCAACTGAAAGAGGAGATAGATCACCATGACTAATAATCAGAGAGGGCCAGGAGAGGAGGTCCTCAGCGCATGCCAGTTGAGTTGTTCAGCCGCATCCAAGGGTCAGAAAACATCCCACAGAGACCCACACTGAGCTGTCAACACCCTCTGCCAGGGCCCGGCACTATGTAAATCCCTATGGTTAAACTAATGCTACTTAATTAGGTTAAAAGTCTGAAAGAACTACATGTTCTACAATTGACTATTTTTCAAATGTGTTTTGCCTCAAAGGATAGAGAAAATCATTGTATGAAAATACATCTTTGCATTACTGAATAATACAAAGAAGTTGAAATTGTATCAGTTACACATACATTATTTGAATAACCGCAACATTTATATAATGAATAGTATTCTCATTTTCAAACTGGGAATTGTTAACTTTGGTTAAGAAACTTACCCAAGATAACATAGGTTATGTATAGCAAAACTGGAAATCAATACTAAGTATGTCTGATTATTCAGACCTATCTCTTAATCAAAAGAATAAAGCAGTAGAATTCAAAAACAATGCATGATTATATAATGTAAACTGATCTCACCTTTCTTTTGCAAAATTACTTTCACAATCTGTGCACCAAAGTATACCATAAAAAATTACAAATGTTACTTATATTGTACTAGCTTGTAAGGGCTATCATCACAAAATAACAGTCTGTGTGGCTTAAACAACGGAAATTTATTATTGTAAAATTTAGAGCCCAAAGTGCAAATAGGGCAGGTTTGGCAGGTTTTTCTCCTGGGCATGAGGATGGCCTCCTCACTTTGTGGTTACATGGCCTGTCCTCTATTCGCTTACATGTCAGTATGTTCATTTTCTCTTCGAAAAGGATGCCAGTCATATGGGATTAAGTTTCACCAATTAGACCTCATTGTACTCTGATTATCTCTTTAAAAACTCTGTTTTCAAACATAGTATGCGGTATTGATGTTTAGCCCTTCCATATACGAATTTCAAGGAAGACACAATTCAGTCTGTAACACTGAATGAGAGAAAATATTGGTAAATCATAGGGCTGCCATGAGTTAATATCTAAAATACGAAAATAATCCCTGAATTCAGTAAGAACAAAAAAAGACAAATTGTTGGATTAAAAGTGGACACCAAACATTTCTCAAAAGACAATATGCAAATTTCCAAAAAGTACATGAAAGAATGCTCAGCGTCACTAATACTTTGGTAAATGCACATTAAAAGTACAATGATATATCACTTCTAAGTTTGTTTAGATGGCTACTGTCAGAAAAAAAAATAAACAGTTGAAGATGTGGAGAAATTGGAATCCTTGTGGACAGTGGTTGGGAATAGAGTGTGGTACGGCCACTGCTGAGATGAGCATGAAAGTTTTTCAGAATTAAACATAGAATTGCCATCTGGTTCAGCAATTATGCTTCCAGGTACATATCCAAATGAGCTGAAATCAGAGGGACTTGCACATGGATATTCATGGCAGCATTATTTAAAATAGCCAAGAAGTTAAAGCAAACTTAAAATTTCCAGCAGCTGTAGACAGGTAAGTAAAAGGTGGAATGTACTTACAGTGGAATATTATTTGGACTACAGAGAAAGGAAGTGCTGAAACATGCATGAGCCCGAAGATATCACATCTTTTTAGAAAAGAAGGCAGTCATAGCACAATTTATAATTGCACTTATATGAGGTCTATCAAGTTAGAGAGACAGAAGATAAAGTGGCAATTGTCAGGAAGGGAGGAGAAGCAGTGCGATATTGCTTAGTGAGGGTTCAGAGTTCCAGGTTCACAAGATGAAAAAGTTTTGGAAATTGGTCACACAACCACATCATTTTTTTTCTATTTTTCATTTTAGTTTGTTACTTCATGTGTGTGGTACAAAATGTTTCTATTCGTTGGGGCAAGTTGTTATAACACGAATATATGTAACAGTAGTATACACTTAAACAGGGCTAGTATAATACATTTTATATAATGTGTATTGTAGCCCGATTTATAGAAACATTTTTGAAATATTGCTTAATATTTTATTCTAGTACAAAAATTGAAAGATATTTCTTTTATAAAAATTATATATAACAAGTTGATATCTGTAGAATCCATTTCTAGAGCCTTGAGATAAACTATATAATTTATGTTTAGATATTTTATTTCTTCTGGCTACCTATAATTGTAAACAAACATATAAATTTTTTTAAATCCATCTTAATTAGTGCAGTATCCTTTGTTCCATTTCTAACCACTTATGTAATGCTGTAAAATGTTTTAAAAATTATATTTTATAGCCACTCTTTTCAATATATATTTTTATCCATATTTAAATATCTGAATACTTATATTCCTCTAACCATGTTACCCTTGTTTTTAAAATATGTTTCCCTTTTACGAAATGAGATATAATTGAAGATTGAATAAAAATATTTTTCTGAAAATAAATATAATTGTATATGGATGCTGGTTTTACTCAACATGGACTGAACCTATGATGCAATTACAAACTCCCTGACCTCAGCAAAACACTCCCTAACACAGCAAAACATTTTTGACAACTGTGAGTTAGGTCCGGAATGAAAATGCTTTCTTTTTCTTGGCACCTCCATCTCAAGATGAAAACTTTTCCATAATGTTGGAGAGTGTATTAATTTTCCAGCATTTCTATAAAAACACCACCAACCAGATGACTTATACAACAGTTTATTGTCTCACCATTTTAAAAGCCAGGAGTCCAAAATCAAATTGTTCTCTGGACTATGTTCTCCCAATGTTCCAGGGAAGAATAATTTCTATTCCTTATCTTAGCTTTTGGTGTTGCTGATGGCCTTTGGCTTGCAGCTCCTCTACCTCCATGTAAAATGGTACTCTGTTCTACTCTATCTTCTCATCATCTTTTTATAAGGACAGCAGTCACGCTGGACTAAGAACCATGCTTCAGTATAATATTATCCTGCTTAATACATTGCATCTTCAACAATTCTACTTCCAAATGATATCACATTCTGAGGGACTAGGAGTTGAGATTTCAGTGTTTCTTTTTGAAGTGCAGAATCCAATTTACAACAAAGAACAGAGATAGAAAGAATCACAGAGTGGTCCCTCAGTATTCTGGAACGTGCTGCCTTTTATTAATGAAAAGTATTTGAAAGAGAGTTGGAAAATAAATCTATTAGTTTTACAAATTCCCCTTGAAGATATTTCAACTTTTCTTTCCTTTTTTTTTTTTTTTGTTCACAGGCTTTACAAAGAGGAGATGGTGTATATTAATAAACCTACGTCGGCGTGAACAACTGATCACCTTTTCCAGTATTCTGTTTTCATGTAAACATGTTCAGTTATCTTAACTCTCATATATTATTATTGTTATTTGTCTACTTAAATTGCTTAAAAATAATAGTGATATGTTTTCAACTGTAGAGAAGGACTTGTTTTCAGCAGTGTCTGATATTATGTAGATATCCAATTATTGTTTGCTAAATAAAGAACAGAATATTTTCATCAAGTGCCATTAGTCCTCTGAAGCAAGCAATTGCATTTTTAAATTCTACCAACAAATAGATTTTTCCAATATAATTGTTTTTTACTATTTTCAAAAGAGTCTATTTCCTATTCCTTAAAACTCATATGAAACTAATTTAAGGGAAAATTTAGCATGATATCCTGTGATGAATTATTAGTGCATTATTTCTGTAATACATTAGAAAAACAAAATATATGCTCTATTTGTATTTTGAAGACAGATTTTGAAGGACAACTCCATTTGAGAAAAAAAATCTATTCAAAAAATTCTGAATGAATCTGTACACCAATTTCTTTGTGCTATATCTATTACTAAATCAAATGCTAAAGGAAAAAACTAAAATGTATTAAAACGAATAGTAAGATTATCTTGTTCTAATAAGAATCATTTTAGTACTTTCATAGTGTCTGAGAAAACTATTAAAACATGCAATTTAGTTGTATTTACATTATTTTAATTAAGACATTTCATTGTGTGAATAATTTAATTACTTCTGCTATACACATTATTATTTAAATTTTTGTAGTTTATATTATCTAGCAATGTTGATATAGAAACATAGGTGAAAAATCATGGTTGAGTTATACTTTCTTGAGTAACCTTGATCTCTACAATATAGAGGATTTTTGGCAATTAAAGTAGGAGAGACAAGCTCCTAGCTGTCTTTGACTACATCCATCTTGGTGTATACTTATTTAGAAATCAAAAACAGCATGTAAAATTATGAATCAGAGCCCATGGATCACCTTATGGAGTTTCATGATGACACTGTCTTCTCTCTGGAACTATTTTTCTTTCTAGAATCTTATCTAATTTAATGTATTTAAGTATTAATTCATATGATAATATAAATATATGGTATTAAATATATGATCTGATTATTTACATGAGAAGTTCACTCAGTTTTTCTATGAAAGGAAATGCTATAGCAAATTTAACTATAAAACCTTTAAACATCATAGAAATTGATTTTAATTCTAATAGTTGCAAATAGACAATTGTTGTATATTGTTCTATATAATTGCATCTCACACACAGTGTTGAGTGTGATCACAGAGGTGAGTGGCATATAAATTCAGAGAATCAAAGTATGATGCATGAAGTGAAAATAGTATTCATCTCTGTAATGAAAATATAGCTATGAGATAGTCTTAGATACTGATGATGCCTTTTAGAAAGTATAAGAATATTGTAACAAAATGCCAATAGACATGATGTCTTGATGTAAAAATTAAAGAGTATTCAATTTTATTCTCATGTCCATCTATTCTTTAAAATATTTTATGATGATCCTATATACTGTTTTGTCTAGCTTGAAATGAAACTAATTTTAGAAACATAGGAAATTAAATTAGATTAATGAGTACAATTTTGGGGAAAGAAAAAGGATATTCAAGCAAAATGGAGCAGCCTGTCTAAGCATATCCAAAACCACGTAGCGGTGGGAAATCCTAATGGAGTATTCTTGTGGAGTGCTGTGCTTTAAAAGTTAAGGGGAAATACTGCTATGATTTGGGAGAAAATGTTGCAAATATTTAAGCAGGGAGTTTTATCAGAGGAGAGTTTCAGGAAGATTACTGTATTTAAGGTGGTTAATTTGAAATAATGCACCCAATGGTAGACTAAAAGTGAATAAAATAATAGACAATTGTTTGTGCCTTACTTCTCAGAACAAAATACATTTGGCCATGTATGTGAGCTGAACTGAGTCAAGCCAACTTTGTTGAAGGTAAAGGAAAAAATAATATAAAGAGTCTAGTCTAGTCTAGAGTCTAGTCTAGCCCTACTGTGTGCTGCCTGAGCAAAATAATTGTTTCTCTGTAGATCCTAAGAAAATCTTATTTTAAAACACATAGGAAGCACCTAAAGTCTTCATCATTTAATCTAGATTTAAGATGTATTAAAATTTAATCATCAATTTTTACATTTTGTGATCAGTACTTGGGAGGGATGAACAATTAGGCAATGGAAATTAAGTACTCAGACCCACAGCAGTGTTATGTAGCTTGAGTGCTTCTACTGAAAATGCATTGTTCAAAAGAATGAAGACATTATCAACAAGAATTTGGAGAAAATATTCAAATAAGAATATAATTTACATTTACATGTTGAAAACTAGTTGAAAATCACATGGCATAAATCTAATCATTAAATTCACTTATATTTACAGAAGATAGCTTATTGAATAGTTTAGAAAACTTGTCTTTAATTGGGGAATAAAATCCTTATGATGGTTCCAAAATTCCTTTATTATTTTCCTTTCCAAACTCCAACGATAGAAACAAGTTGTATGCTTCCAAAATTATGGAACCTTTGTGAAGTAATCACCATAAATGCCAACTTTCTGTTTTGCTCTTGTGTCACTTCTTGGTAGCAGTTTCTGATATTTGATGCTTTAAAAACCATTTCTTAGAAAAATGCTGGGTTTTTTTTTTCTCTTGTTTTTATGGAAAAAAATACACTCAAGCAAGGCACATTTTTCTGTTTTTTTTTTTCCTTGTTTCAGTATCAGAGGGGTGAGAGGGAAACCCCAGAAACATCTGGTTTTCTTCAAGCATCTGTGACTTTGCATGTCTGTTCTTGAGTTATTACCAAGAACTGATTGTAAGCTGGGTAATTTTTTTAGGATGCTCTGTAGAGCAAAATAATCATACATAACCTTAGGAATATGATATTGTTGAAATTGTAATATATGCACTTTGGATTGATAAGCAGTTCACAGTTATCAACAAACCAAACTCTAACCTGGCTTAATTGGTTATTTGAATCCGGTTTGCATTTATTTCATCAAGCTGTCTTGGAAGACATTTGGAAGACATGGGAATAACATTGACAATCACAGCATGGCCTCTGGGTAGGTATAAGACTTGGGGCTTGGTCTGCAGTAAGGGTCTGCAATATTTCTAAAGACTGTGTAGTTCTTCCATTAACTAGTTAAAATCCTGGCAAAACTACTTAAATTGACTTCAGATTTCATCAGTATAATGAGAGTAAATAAATGTGTCTACTTCAGTGGAATTTTCTGAACTTTGACAAATATAGGTATTAGTAATTTACTTTGCAAATCAATAGATGGATATATGATTAGTACTGGAGTTTGCTCTCCTGGAAAATAAAATTATAATAAAGTGAATAGAAATTTCTAGACCTTACTGTTATTACATTTGAAATAGAATTTTTTCTCATTTATGATTTTTTATCTTATCTATATTAAATTCTCACACTAAATATACATTAATGTTAACTAGGATAGCCCAACTTTGTAAGTATTGCTATACCTATAATTAAATTTAAATATTCATTGAATTTGGTTTATTGCTCTGACTTCACTTGAGTGTTAGGGAAAAAAAGTAGACACAGAGTGAATATTAACAAAAGGATACTGAAGAAATAACATATCCTGAGAACGTGAGGGGCAGGGCAGAAGTAAATCCCTGTGCTTGTAGCTCACCTATAATTTTAAAAGAGCAGCCAGGGAAGGAGGATTATGAGTGCCCAGTATATACAAAGCATAGCACTGGATATTTTTACATTTATTTCTTCATTTAATTCTCACAAAGCCCTATGGAATATGTATTGCTTCATTTGTATTTTTCCATGTGCAGAGTTTGAGGTTCATCATGATGCTTGATGGGACTGTAGTCACACATCGTTAGAAGCAGAAGTAGAACTCAAAGCTCTCTTTCTGATTGTAAAACTCAGGCCTGATGGGCTACTTTCAATCTTAAGAGTTGAAATCGGCTACTTAAATCGGGAAGAAGGGAAGGAAATTGGTGGTTTTTGTTTGAAGCTGTAGCCTTGTGACAAAAGACGCCTATGAGGCTGTGACTTTCTTATTGGTGCTCTGCCCGCTTATGTTATACTACAAGGCAAACGGGATTTTGCAAATGTTAGGATTACTAATCAGTTCATTTCAGAATAAAAAGAGTAGCTGGTAGGGCCTAACCAAATCACTGAGCCCTTTAAAAGCTTTTCTTCAGCCTTATGCAGAAGAGTAAGTCAGAGAGGAACTGTAAGGGTGAAATATCCATGTGAGGGAAATTAGGCACTGATGAGACTGAGGTTCCTGGGACAAGACCTGGGAGGCCTCTGGCTGCTATAAGCGGCCCCTTCCCAACAGCCAGTAAAAAAGTAGGTACTCAGTCCTGCAACAGCAATGCACCCAGTCTGCCAATAATGAGAATAAGCTTGGAAGCAGAATCTCCCCCAGAACTTCCAGATAAGAATTCACCCAGGCCAACTTCATGAAGTCAGCCTTGGGAGACTCTGAATACAGAAATATGCCTTCTGCACTTCTGAGCTATGAGAATGTAAGCTGATACGTGAGTGTTGTTTTTAAGCTCCTAAATTTCCATCAATAGAGAATTAATATGTTGAATTAATCATTGATAAGCTTGCATATAGTTATACATACTGTTCTTGACACAAGTTTATATTTATTGCCTAGTTAGATAATTGGATCAGTTTATTATCATTCTTTAGTATAAAGGGATTTCTTTAACTGAACGGTTTATTGTCTTTTATTTGAGCAGGTTAATTTCTATCAAATCAATTGATTCTGTCTGTTTTTATTTTTTAAAGTATTCTTTTAAAAGAGGATTCAATTTGACCTAAAACATAGTATTTCCTATAGGCACAAAAATAAAAGAAACAGAAACTTACTTGGTAAAATTATACTGTCTATTAAATGACTGTATTTGTAAAAGAAACAAGGTATTAGAGAAGTGTCTTGTGTACTGTTAAGAATTTTAAAAAGCTTCGAATCCGCTGGACTATCTGGCAACTTTGCTATGAAGTCTTGTTTTCATTAAAATGGTTTGGTTTGAACCTTTCTTTGATAATTAAAAATTCCTTTCCATTCTCCCTCCTCCTTGCTGCCTCCAACTCCCATCCTTAAAACATCACTGGTATTTTGGCAATTTAGACAAACATGAAAAAATAAAACTTGTTCACATTGTGTCAAGCATCTAACAATCATGCAGAAACGTGTTGATGAGTACACTTTCCCATGCTGCTCTTGTGCACATATTTGAGCTTGCCCTAATTCATCAAGAGCTCTTTATAATCCTTGGGGCATTCACTGGTCTCATTTTCCCTTTCCAGCAGTTTCGTATCCCTTCAAGCCTAATTGCTACAATGCTCTAGGCACGAAATTAGCAGTTTGTGCAAGTGTGTATTCACTTCTCCATCCTTTATTTTGCTGCTCTGTCCTTCACGTTTGTATTCTTAGATTTATTCTTGTTTTGGTTATTGTGTTTTCTAACAAGCCATTCTAAACTTAATATTGCACAATTGCAACAATAGTGCCCCATTTGCTGCTTTGGTGGGATGGAAATTGGATAAGGGACAGCAGTGATAGCTTTTGTTTGAGGCCTCAACTGAGGATGATTCAACTATTTGAGGACTGAAATCATTTGGTTTTTTTTTTCACCCAAATGTCTTATGTTTGATTTGACAAGACTCAAAAGCCACATTTGACTGGGACTGTTTATCATAGCAACTACCATGCCTTGTCCTCTTGGCATAGGACACTCACTGTACAGTGGCTAGGTCCTGAGAAGAAACATACTAATAGGAAATGTATGAAGAGTGAATGTTTAAATGACCAGACCATGAAAGCTGAGCAGTCTAGTATAAAAATACAATGGAGTGGCATCTTCTACTGTTCTATTGGTTGAAACAATCCCAAGCTAATGGAGATTTAAGAGACGGAGACACAGACTGCCATTGTTGATGGGAGAGCAGCAAGCTACCGTTTAGAAAACATTTTGGACAGATATGCTTAGTGACCATCTTCAGAAAATACAGTACATCACAAAGATTTATACCACATTTGCATGCAAGCAAAATAATCCTCTTCGAACACTCCAAAAATCTTATTCCATTTTTTTATGTCAAACTCAAGGTTTAAAGCCTTATCAGATAAACCAAGTGATATGTAGGTGAGACACCCTGAGTGCAGATCTTCAACTATGATTTCTGTCCATCTGACCTGTAAATGTAAGTGTCCCCAAAACATCAAACACACACGTCTTGGTTAATTTTCACATTGTTGAGACAAAATACCCAATACCCAAAGTTAAAGCAGGGAAGACTTATTTAGCTTACAGCTTGTAGAAATTTCAGTTCATAATTGGTGAGCTCTAAGTCAAGAAGGCATGGTAGAGGGGCATTGCAAAGTAAGCAAGCAGAAATCAGTAACCACTAGTGACAAGAACAGAACTTTCTGTCTCTTTATCTTTATATTGTAA